CAGCAAAAGGCATTCCTTTCCTCTTCCTGTTCAACCATTGGCGAAGGTTAGTAGCACAATTGTTGCAGTATATGTGTGGAGCCCAGTTCTTATTCTGGTCACCAATCTTCATCCAAAGCAACCTTAAACCAAGACAGCAATGCCTAAGCGTACGTAATAAGGCAAATAGATTACTGGGATTTATATCAAGAAGTGTAAGCAACAGAAGTCCAGAGGTCATACTGCAGCTTTATACATCATTAGTAAGGCCTCACCTAGATTATGCAGCTCAGTTCTGGTCTCCATATTACAGAATGGACATAAATTCGTTAGAAAACATTCAGCGTAGGATGACTAAATTAATACATAGCATTAGAAATCTTCCTTATGAAGAAAGATTGAAGACTCTTAAGTTACATTCACTTGTTAAACGAAGAATGAGGGGAGACCTGATCGAAGTGTATAAGTGGAAGATAGGTATTAATAAAGGGGATATTAATAAGGTCTTGAGGATGTTCTGGCTTAGTTCTGGCAAACAATGAATCCCTTGTTAATAATTTAGAAGTTTCAGAGGAACTGGGTGCTAGCGACCACAAATCAATTACATGTAGAATTGAATGGAAGTATGATAGTAGGGATAACTCAGTAACAGTCCCAGATTTTCGCTTAGCAGATTACGATGGGCTTAGAGAACACTTATCATCTGTTGACTGGGGTAACGAAGAGAGCTATCAATATGACAATTTTCTGAACACAATACATGCTGCTCAAAGAACGTTTATCCCTTATAAGGAAATTAGATCAAATAGAAATGACCCAAAATGGATGAATAATAGGCTGAAATATCTACTAGGGCATAAGAAAGGAATTTATAGGCGTATCAAAAGAGGCGAGGGTCATCTTATGAATCAGATATTGACATTAAGAGGGACATTAAAAAGGGGATAAGAAAAGCTAAAAGGGACTATGAAATTAAAGTTGTTAGGTAAGACACATATGCAACAGTTAGACAACTTTATTCCGAAACGTTCCGCCTACACAGTAGGCTTCTTCAGTCGAATACAGAAAGTAGGCAGGAAACAGAAGAGATGTGAAGACGATGTAATCAGTCCATCACCCTTAAGGGTGATGGACTGATTACATCGTCTTCACATCTCTTCTGTTCCTGCCTACTTTCTGTATTCGACTGAAGAAGCCTACTGTGTAGGCGGAACGTTTCGGAATAAAGTTGTCTAACTGTTGCATATGTGTCTTACCTAACAACCTGTCGGTATTATATACCATTTTGACGAAATTAAAGTTGCTAGGGATTCTAAAACTAACCCAAAAAGTTTTTTCCAGGTCTATAGAACAAAAGTCAGAGATAAGATAGGTCCCCTTAAAAATAACTATGGGCATCTTACTGACAAAGAGAATGAAATGTGCTCGATTTTAAATAATTATTTTCTCTCGGTTTTTACACAGGAAGACACTAATAATATTCCGGTAATTAATTTTTATAGTGGATCAGAAGAAGATAAATTATGTAACATCACAGTCACTAGTGAAATGGTTGTGAAGCAGATAGACCGACTGAAGCAAAATAAGTCACCGGGTCCTGATGAGGTTTTTTCAAGGGTTCTTAAGGAATGCAAAATGGAAGTCTGTGAACCATTAACTAATATTTTTAATTTATCTCTTCAAACAGGTGCAGTGTCTGATATGTGGAAGATGGCTAATGTAATTCCTATTTTAAAACAGGGACAAGTCGTTACCGTCAAATTACCGCCCAATAAGCCTGACTTCAATTGTAGGCAAATTACTAGAGTCAATTATAGCTGAGATTATAAGAAGCCATCTCGATAAGCATAGCTTGATTAATGATACTCAGCATGGATTCACAAGAGGCCGGTCTTGTCTAACTAATTTATTAACTTTCTTCAGTAAAGCTTTTGAGGCTGTTGACCACGATAAAGAATTTGATATTATTTTACTTAGATTTTAGTAAGGCATTTTGATAGAGTTCCGCACCAAAGACTGTTGAAGAAGTAGCAGCTCATGGCATTGGGGAAGGGTGCTCTCGTGGATCGAATCATGGCTCACAGACAGGAAGCAAAGAGTGTCCATAAATGGGTTAAATCCGAGTGGGGATCAGTAACAAGTGGCGTTCACAGGGATCAGTCTTGGGCCCGTTGTTGTTTATAATATATATCAATGATCTTGATGAAGGAATTACTAGTGATTATGAGCAAATTCGCCGATGACACGAAGATAGGTAGGATAATTGATTCAAACGTAGATGTTAGGGAACTTCAGGAGGATTTAGACAAACTCTACTCTTGGTCAGAAAAGTGGCAGATGCAGTTCAATGTAGATAAATGCAAGGTTCTGAAGCTCGGGAGTGTCCATAACCCTAGCACTTATAAGTTAAATAATGTAGAACTTAACCATACAGATTGCGAAAAGGACTTGGGGGTTATGTAAGCAGCAACCTTAAACCAAGACAGCAATGCCTAAGCGTACGTAATAAGGCAAATAGATTACTGGGATTTATATCAAGAAGTGTAAGCAACAGAAGTCCAGAGGTCATACTGCAGCTTTATACATCATTAGTAAGGCCTCACCTAGATTATGCAGCTCAATTCTGGTCTCCATATTACAGAATGGACATAAATTCGTTAGAAAACATTCAGCGTAGGATGACTAAATTAATACATAGCATTAGAAATCTTCCTTATGAAGAAAGATTGAAGACTCTTAAGTTACATTCACTTGTTAGACGAAGAATGAGGGGAGACCTGATCGAAGTGTATAAGTGGAAGATAGGTATTAATAAAGGGAATATTAACAAGTAATGGATTTAAATTAGACAAGTTTAGATTTAGAAAGGACATAGGAAAGTGGCAATATAAACACAAATGCAGTATAATGTGATCCTTTATTGACTACGTTTCGCCCACACAGTGGGCTTTTTCAAGTCACAAACAGAACAGTTCTGTTTGTGACTTGAAAAAGCCCACTGTGTGGGCGAAACGTAGTCAATAAAGGATCACATTATACTGCATTTGTGTTTATATTGCCATTGTGTCGGTATTTTATACCATTTATTTCCATTCCGACATAGGAAAGTATTGGTTTGGAAATAGGGTAATAGATGAGTGGAACAGTCTACCTAGTTGGGTTATTGAGGCTAGGACTTTGGGTAGTTTCAAATTTAGGTTGGATAAATTCATGAGTGGGATGGGTTGGATTTGAGTGGGACTTGCACATCAGAGCTTATTTCTTGGGTAGCATTGAAAATTGGGTAGGTCAAATGTTTGTTAGTGGGATGAATTGTAAAGGACCTGCCTAGTATGGGCCAACAGGCCTGCTGCAGTGTTCCTCCTTTCTTATGTTCTTATGTCTCTCCAAGAGAGAACCCGCAGTAATGGATTTAAATTAGATAAGTTTAGATTTAGAAAGGACATAGGAAAGTATTGGTTTGGAAATAGGGTAGTTGATGAGTGGAACAGTCTACCTAGTTGGGTTATTGAGGCTAGGACTTTGGGTAGTTTCAAATCTAGGTTGGATAAGTACATGAGTGGGAGGGGTTGGATTTGAGTGGGACTTTCACATCAGAGCTTATTTCTTGGGTGGCATTGAAAATTGGGCAAATGTTTTGTTAGTGGGATGAATTGTAAAGGACCTGCCTAGTATGGACCAACAGGCCTCCTGCAGTGTTCCTCCTTTCTTATGTTCTTATGTAAAAAAAGGTGATATGCCTGTGGAAAATTGCATTTATCTGAATGTAACTAATTATGTACATAACAGCAAATGATAACAAAGATAATTATTATTTATCAATGTTACATAGACAAGTAGGAATTTGGGACACCTAGGTCGCAAAAAATGTCCCCCTTCGATACCTACCACTGTCATATCCACAAGTTGCTCTGGACCTATTAATTAAATGAAATATACATACACCAGGAATACTGGTAAATATATAAATTTGTGGACTGTATATTAAAAAATGATTATATATAAATTCACATATACATAACAGAAGGAAAATATATCTTAATATCACTCACCAATTTGACTGGATATTAAGTTGTATCATACTCAGAAAAACCTCACTAACTAAATTTATGAAAACACTGGCCAGAATTAAACAGACTTATCTGAGGTTCCTGGAGCTGTGTTGTCCAGTCGCCTGATACTCAAATTATGCAGGAATGCACATCCAACAATTTCGCCTCCTATTTGAGAGGTGTCAGCCCAATTTTAACCTCTAGAGCATGAAAAATTCTTCCCATTCACCCTTAACGTTCTGTTCAATTCAAAATCAAGATGGCGAGTCCCGTCTGCGCAGACGCAGGCTTTTTGTTTTCTATGACATAAATATTATTAAATACAGTATGGCCATCTATTTACATATAAATACCGAATTTCTGGAAAATATATACAGTATTTTCCACAATACCTTTCTAACCATATCAGTTATACGGCGCTTCTGTGATGCAAAGGTCACCTCACCACAAACGTAGCAGTAGTTGTCTGCACTATTCACACAAGTACGAGGCATTTGAAAGATGAAAACAACAATCAATTAGAAGATAAACAGAAAATTTATTCATTAATTTATCATTATCATACAGAGCATGACAGCTAAGCAGAAGTTTTTATATCAGTCGGTAGGAAAATAAAATTAATATAATATGCCTCACATGCATATCAATAGCTTGCTCAGTAAATATTTATTACAAGTTTAAAAAGTATTTGGCTAAGAAAATCACCTACCTTTCAACTCAAAATATAAACCTGCACAGCACAACCACCTTCTATGACTGCTTGAACAATAATGATCAATGAGACTGTGAGTGTGGTAAGAAACACACTACAACAAGCCTGTTGGAACCTGTCGTGACACGTAGGTGTATATTGAAAAGTAGAGCTAACAATTTTAACCATGATATTCATTATCAATGACCGAAAATTAGTTGGAAATTGCTACTCTGGTCCCGGAAGCATTTTGGTTGTTGACCCCTTTCCTGAATTTAACCCAAGTATTCAAATTTGTTGCAGGGTCGAGGACACATGTCCATGGAGGAGCCCCCCGCCAGGAATGTCATGTGGAGGACGGGGTTCAACCACCTGCCTGCCCACGCTGACGACGACTACCTCATCTGCCACGAGAAAGATGCCAGGAGCAAGTGCCCACCCTGTGGTGACAGTGCCGACACTCCCCCACCCCACCCTCACGAGGGAGGAGGACAATGGGCCACCGGCATTATCTCCCGCACCTACACCATGGGACAGGCGAGTCATTGTTGCGTTTGGACAGGTGCATCAATATCTACCCAAACTGTGTTCAAAGTAATTTGAGTGAAAAAAATATCTTCCCTCCACACATGCCACCAATATGACGATTCCAGTCTCTTTCGACACTAAAATGGCCCCATCACTAGTCATAATCCTTGCCAACACTACTCTTACAGCCTGTCAGCACTCTAAAGACCTTCCATCGCTTACAGGTGATAAATGTAAAAGTTAATGTGACCAGGAGTCATGGAGGGCCGATCGAGTTCAAGTTATGTCCTCACGACAACCCCAAAATTCCTGTCGACCAGCACTGCCTCGACCAGTGAGTACCAGCTTCAAACCTTTCCTGCATCACATTCTCTGTTCTTTTGTGTTTCTTCTGTTTTGTATTACTTTCTATGCTCACTTTTCACTTTCCTCCATGTTAATTTGCACTTTCCTCTTTACTGCTTGTGCTCTTACATTACCCTGTGCTTTTTTTTTTTCTTTCATAAAATTGAAGTAGTACCCGAGTTCTGCTGACTCTTTTTACGGTGATACATGAAGGTTTCCTTAAAAACAGTACCTGATTGTACACCTGTTTTTCTTACCAATTTTGATGTTCTGCTCTGTCCTTCAGTATATTTTGAAACATTCCTCTGTCTCAAGAGTGTGTGTGTGGGGGTGGGTGGATGGGTTGGTGGTGGTAGTGTGTGTACTCACCTAATTGTGGTTGCAGGGGTCGAGACTCGGCTGGTGGCCCCCCACCTCTTCACTGAGTGCTACTAGGTACTCTCTCTCCCTGCTCCATGAGCTTTATCATACCTCATCTTAAAGCTAAGTATGGTTCCTGCCTCATTAACCTCACATCATCTGCGAACAGGGACGCTTCTGAGTCTATCCCTTGTCATGTCATTCACATATACCAAAAATAGCACTCGTCCTAGGACTGACCCCTGTGGGACCCCGCCCATCACAGGCACCCACTGTGATACCTCATCATGTACCATGACTTGTTGCCTCCCTGTCAGGTATTGTTTGATCCATTGCAGTGTCCTTCCTGTTATACGTGCCCTTTCCTGTTATACGTGATCCTCTAGCTTCTGCACTAATCTCTTGTGAGGAACTGTGTTGAAGGCCTTTTTGCAGTCCAAGAAAATGCAATCGCCCCACCCCTCTCTCTCGTCTTACTTCTGTTACCTTGTCATAAAACTCCAGTAGGTTTGTGACACAGGATTTGCCTTCCATGAATCCGTGCTGGTTGTCATTTATAATCTTGTTTCGTAAAAGGACACAAGTACAACTAATGTGACATTTTATTGTGGCAACATTTCGCTCTCCAGGAACTTATCAAGCCGTTACAAACAGTACATGGACAGTTAGTTTAATATGTTTATTATGCACCCCATACCCATCCTGTGGGCGGTAGTCAAAAGATTACAGAGGTACATAATTGGTCCAGGGACTGGACTCCAAAGTTTTGATAGCTGAGCAAGTTAGAGGTAATGAACTCACAATTTACAAAGGTAATGAACTCACAATTTACAAAGGTAATGAACTCACAAATTACAAAGGTAATGAACTCCAGGTAGGTCTAGTCACAATCATGACAAGTTACAAAGGTATTTACAGATTACAGAGGTACGTAATGGGTCCAGGGACTGGGCCCCAAAGTTTTGATGGCTGAACTAGGTACAAGGTAATGAACTCACAAGTTACAAAGGTAATGAATACTGTAAGAATGGTTACTTACGTTTATACATGGCTACAATCATGAACAAATTATAGTGTAATGAGCAATTCACACTTCCACACCCGGTCACAACTGTAATGAGTTATTGGTGCAAATATTGATTTGAGTCACACACACACACACACACACACACAACACCACACACACATCATACACACACACGCACACACACTCATACACACACACACACACACACACACACACACACACACCAAGGTATATAAGGCTCAGTGAGTGCAATACTTGTGGTTTGTAGTATGTGTAGTATGACAACGAGTTGTAGTAGTAGTAATACAATATGGTAGAACAATTAACTTGCACATGAGTAAAAGGATATAAAAGCTATTACTTGGGTAACAGAAATATTTGTCTAACCTATTTTTGTTACCCAAGTAATAGCTTTTATATCCTTTTACTCATGTGCAAGTTAATTGTTCTACCATATTGTATTACTACTACTACTTCAACTCGTGTCACTACTACTACTACTACTCCTACTACTACTACTACTCCTACTACTACTACTACTACTCCTACTACTACTACTACTACTACTACTACTACTACTACCACTACCACCACTAGTACTGCACCTCACACTAAGCCTATATATACCCTCTGTGTCCATGTACTGTTTGTAACAGCTTGACAAAGCTCCTAAACAGCGAAACGTTGCCACAATAAAATGTCACATTAGTTGCACTTGTGTGCTTTTACTTTACATATTGTCGGTAATTCAACCAACGTATATATAATCTTGTTCCGTTCCAGGTACTCCACCACTCTACTTCTGATAACCTTCATGACTTTGCATACTATACACATCAGTGGCACTGGTCTATAGTTTATTCGAGGTTCTGACCAGAGCTTTGGTAAGAGGGGAGTGGGGGAAGAAGGATGGGTAAGGATGGAAGTTTGGGAAAGGTTGGGGAGGGAGGAGGGGTAGGTGGGGATAAAAAAGGGTAGTGGCCTATCCACTTTGGTGTAATTTGAATATGCGTGTGTGCATATTAAGTGATTTATGAAGAGGTTGGTTATATGTGTAGGGTATACCTCCTGCCCATCAATTTCGCAATGCTATATTGTGTTATACCACTGCGTCATTGAATTGGAAGGATGCATACTGCATAGAATTGTTGCTTTTTTTTTTCCGCAAGAGGTTGGTCAGGAGGCGCAGCTGCAGGCGAAGGTTGCTGGGCATTCGATGGAGGTTGGTTGCTCACCTGGAGTCGGCCAGCAAGGCAGTGACTGAGGTGGTGTCCTGCTGTATTGTAGTAGATGTAACGAGGTCAGTTGTGAGGTGTTGGTTGATAGAGGTGGGAGGGCTTGTCCGTGTTACTGGACATAGAATGGTTCTGGTGGTATCCATTCTTCTTCTGCGGGGAGGTCGCTTAAGATATTGGGACGAGGGAAGTTCTCCTTGTGGATAAAGCGTCGAACTCTTTGTTGGAGAGTCATTCTTGGGGATCTGTGGGGAGGGGTGGTGATGGTATAGTCGGTTGTGTTCACTGCTTGGGGGGGATTCTCTGTCAGGCACGTAGAGTTCCTGCATGTCATATAGTTCTCTTAGTAAGTTTGTCTAATCGGACGTTGATTGCAGGGATTCTCTGTTGTATGTGTAGGTCCTCTGATCTGATTCTGTCTCTGAGTCTGGTGTTCGTGATGAAGTGGAGGGCTTTGTTTTGGACTCTTTGGAGTTTGAGCATGTTGGTTTTGGTTGTGAGCGACATGGGTACACAGGGGTATTCTATCAGAGGTCTGATCATCATCTTGTACAGGTGAAGTTTGATGTGGGGAGGGGCTGCTTTGAATCGATAAAGTTGGCCAAGGCGGGCTTTCGCTAGGTTTACTTTTTTGGTTACGTGGGTTGTAGAGTTGAGTAATCTGCCGATCTCATATCCTAGGATCTTGTTTGGGTTTCTTATAGCAATACGGGTACCTCTGATGGAAATGCCCCCTTTTCCTTCTATGGTTGATGGTAAGCACCCAACGGTGCTGATGAGGACTTTGCCAGGGTTGGTTGTGATTCTCCATTTTTTCTCCCAACTGGCAGTTCTATTTAGTTCTTCATTCATTTTCTCGTTTGCTCTCCTATGCTTGTTTGCACCAGCTGTAGGGGTGGAGGAGACAACATGGATGACATCGTCTGCGAATTGGGTGATAGTGTCGGTATGTTCAGGTTGGGGGAGGTCATTGACGTATATGTTGAAGAGGACGGGCTGAGCAGGAGCCTTGGGGTACTCCTGCTGTTGGTGTGAAGGGGGTTGCTTCTGCTCCGTGGAAGGTGGGGATGATTTTTCTTCCTGTTAAGAAGTTGTAGATGAGCCTGAGAAAGGTCCAGTTGTGATCAGGGAGGTCTATGAGTTTGTAAATGAGACCGTCATGCCAAAGGCTGTCGAAGGCCTTGTGAACGTCCCTGGTGGCGATGAGGGCCAGGTTCCCTTGCTTCTTCAGGCTGGCCACAGCATCATAGATGATGTTTATGGCATGCTGAGTGCTGTGGTGGGACCTGAAGCCGAACTGCCTTTCAGAGAATAGGTGGTTGAACTCCATGTAATAGTTTAGTCTGTTGGAGATTATTCTTTCAGACTTTGCCTGTGACTTCGAGTAGGGAGATGGGTCTGTAGTTCTCGGGATTGCGGTCGTCCTTGTTTGGTTTGGCGATGAAGATCATCTTAGCTATCTTGAAAGCCACTGGGAAGTGACCGGATGCCAAGATGGCATTGTAGATATTCACCAGAGACATCTTGCAGTTATGGGGGAGGTACTTTAGTTGTTTAGCTCTTATGCCTGATGGGCCTGGAGCTGTGTTTCTCAGTCGCCCTATGACTTGGGATACTTCTCTGAGCGTGACTGGTCTGGTGAGGGGATGTTCGTCTTCAAGGGTAGCTGGGTCAACTGATGGAATGGGATGGAAGTCTTCTAGGTTCTCGTCCCGCCATTGGTTGACCCACTGATAGTGGGTGTTGTTAAATCTTCTGCTGTCGTTGTGTGAGAGAATGTTCTCCCATACTTCCCCCATCAGCTTGGCTTGGTCCAGTGGGTCGTCAAGTAGGGTAGTCACTACCTCACCGCTTGCATCGGTGAAGGAGTGAGAGAGGTGTTGAGTGGGAGTGTGTTTGGCCCCTAGTAGTCTGCGGATCGTGCTCCAGAATTGGTCAGGGTGGCGTTTGTACTGGTTAGCTTGGCGCACAAGATATTCCCAAAAATCTCTTTTATGCTGGGTTATTAGGGCGATTAGCTCTCTTCTCGATCTTAGTAGGGCTTCCCGGGAGGGTTGCCCTGTGAGGAAGTGTCTACTGCAATCTAATTGGTACCTGTTCATTCTGTCCTTGATTTCCCTAGTTGGTTTGTATTGTTGGTAAATCTTGGACGTTGTTAGTGTGCAGCAAGCTTGTGTGGCCTCTTCGATTCTGGCGTGAAGGTAGTTAATTGCCCCATCTATTGCATTGTAGGGCTGGTCTTCGAGAGGGATGGTTTGATCATTACCTAAGAAGGCTCTAAAGGGGTCGAAACCTAGCGTCTTCAGGTTGGGTTTAGGGGGGGGGGGTGTACGGAATGGAGTGGACTGCAGCTCGATTACCACAGGG